AGAAACTCAAGTGCTTTTATACGAAATGTTTTTCTCGTTTTTCGCTAAGCGGATGATCGCTTTCATCTCTTTGCTACTAAAAATGTACTTTTTCTTCTCGTTTATCGATAAATAAATTGAGTTCCGAACAGAAACAGCGCCTATAAATAGAACATTTATTTTATTCAAAATTTTCCCATTTTCTGAACAGTAGAAATTTAGTTTCTCAAATCAAACTGTCTAACAATAAAAGTATGGATCGTGAATGGCTAAATGACTATGTACATCAATTTTCCATCCTTTATAAAGTTTGCACCTGTTCTCGCAAATTTCGATACTATGACATTTGAATCAAAATTTTTCTTCATCTTTAATATCATACGGGAACTGAGTCAAATGTTGAAATTTATGTGCTCTAAGGACAGAACTATCATTTTTGAATCTTATGGTACACATGTGCAAAACTCCGTGATATTAAATTTTCATGAATTATTTTTAGTGCAAAGAACATTTAAAGTATTTCTAATTTTTCGATGCAGTTTTGTCCTACAGCTGTCACGATCGAAGAACAATTTCACAATGGAAGTATATGTAGTGTATGTAGACAACGCCAAAATGATTCACTGTTACAGCAGTAGCTCTTACTTTGCCGCCGCCATTCTGACTCACTGATGCGACCGATGGCAACAGTTGATCATGTTCGTTCGCATTTGATCTGTCTGACGCTCTATTTTCTGCATTGCCCGTTGAAGAAGATGATGAGATATACATTTCTATAAACCAAATCAAACATAAAGCACTCATCGAAAATATATAAATAATTAAAAGCTCAGCCTCAATTTTATATTTGTTTCTGTTTAGTTCTATGACGGAATCGATATTCAAAACCATAACCACGAGGCATCGCACACAGTGGCATACTTGACTATGAAAAGTTCGTACCGTTTTTATATGTAAAAGGAGAATGCTATTAGGAGCCATTGCACGTAAGCCACGACCAGCTTCAGCATAATGTTGCTCACTCGATATCACCAATTTGGGTGATATTTTTATAGTAGGTAGATACATCGGAGTTAGGAATAAACCGAAAGTTTCAGCTCAAACGGATGAGCCATTCTGGAGATATAGACGTACAACTATGAGCGGGTGGGTCCCATTTTGAATAACTAATAGTGCAATACTTTTCAGTAAAGTTTCATTTTCTAAACAACGACAAGAGTTATAACAGAGATTTTTTTACCATAGGTACTATCGACGATGGGCTATCTTTTCATGGTATTGAAAGTGCCTTATCGTCTAATATTTTTCAATTGGTATTATGTACCATCTCGAGCAGTCATCCTATTCCACAATGTTGAACATTGCGGCATCAGTTCAGCCCCCGGAATCACTTCTATCCAATTCCGGGAACTCCATCATCATTAAACATAAGAGACCTAATCGCCATTGATCGAGTTCCTCGAAATTTAAAGGAATTCAGAGCAATTTCGGAATCGGAAGGAATTCCGGAATCGAAGGAATTCCCAGCAATTCCGGAATTGGAAACAGTTCCAGGAATTCCGGAATCGGAAGAAATTTCTGGGAATTCCCAGCGATTCCGGAATTGGAAGGGGTTCCCGGAATTTCAATGAATTCCATTTCAATCGAATTCCCGGAATTCCGGTAATTGCCGGAACTCGATCAATGGTGACTGGGCCTGCGCTGTAGCACGCTGATCGAGTTCCCGGAATCGGAGGGAATTGATTCCGGGTGCGGAACTGATGCCGTAATGTTGAACATCGCGGAATAGAATGTATTCCCACCATTTGCAGAAAGCATGATTCCGTAGATAAGGCAAGTTGGTCAAACTAGCATGATAGACCAGCTTGAGAGTAGTCTCATTTGAAAGAGCACATGAAACTGTGTCGAGTGACGTTTTCAAAAGTTTGGCTTATTGAACTTTGGTAGCAAGGGTGTGGGGTGTGGGTGTGGGTGTGAGTGTAGGTGTGAGTGTGTATGCGGGCGCAGGTCTAGGTGTAGGTATGAGATTGTGATTATGGGTGTTAGTGTTTATATTTTCCACACGTATATTTCTACACCCTCATCCACATCTTCTTTTTCTCTTCTTTGCACTTTACTTGATTATCGTATATCAATAAATAAAACACATTAGTTTTGAACGACATTACATTAAACCAAAAACCAACAAAAAGAGTGAACACGCAAAAGAATTGATCAATTTCTTGCCAATCTTGTTTATAAATGAATTGTAATTTTTCAACATCTTTACATAAAATCGTTTCACGTTGTTTTATTTATCCTTTTTCAATAAGAACATTTTCAATTTGACGAAGATAATCCATAACTTGTAGTTTTTCTTGTAACATTCGACGTTGAGTCATGGATAGCTGAGAACGAGACATTTCAATAGTTGAACTTAAAGTAATAACAATTTTATTATAAATAATAACATATTAAATTAGACATTACCCTGTTCAACAATTTGTACATTAACTTATTGTAGTACTTTTTCGAATTCTTGTTTACTTAATTGTGTATCTTTAATATCATTATTTCAACTTATTCGTTCTGCATCAATTATGTTACAATTAGTATCTAAATTCATCATAGAAATTCCTAAATGACGTTTAATAAGTATATGATTTTGTATATAAACAGTTAAGTCCGCTATTTTTTGTTTTAATTCATCAATAACACCTCTTTGAGGTTGAGTATCACAATGTAAGTTTGAAATTTTTCATGTTATATTTTTATTTTTCTCTTTCATTATTTCATATTATTTTTGTATTTGTTCAAGAATAAGACTTTTTTTTCTTCTAAAGATTTTTGTAATAAATCAATTTTTATTTGATCATTATTTATTTGTGTCATATTTAAAAGTTTATGTTCACTTTAATTATTATTTATTGTTTCTATTTATTTTTGATATTTTAAACGTTCTTGTAAAAGAATACGAATTTGTGTACGTAATAAATTAATATAGTCTTCAAATAAATTACGTTCTTTATTCTATTCCATAAATATCCTACCATTTGATGTGCCAGTTATATTCGACCCATGGCAACATTAACTCTTGCACTTGAACATGAAAGACGACGCGAAACAATCAATAATTTACTGGATACATGCACGATCTCATAAAATAGACATAAAATACTTGAATACATAATTCTATGTAAGCATTGCATTGAAATTCAAAATAAAAAATATATCTTTTCTCATCGTCTACCATATATTAAACGTTCTACTATATAAAATTTCTCGTGGCTTAAAAAGCAACAAAAGTTCGAGCTACTACAGGAAAGAATTTTACGAAAAAAAACTATAAAATTTTGTTTCTTTTATTATTATTATTATTACTATTATATTTCACGCACAATAAGAAAATTTCCAGAAAAGAATTAAGCAAAAAGGAATAAAATAAGACTATTAATATTTTAATCGATAATAAAAGTTTTATCCAAGTAAAACATGATTAAACGCATAAGGGTGTGGATGTGATTTAAGAGATAATCGATACCCACACGCACTACTTTGATCGGTTACATGTTTCAGCTGGATCATCGTCTCCATTCTAGTTTGTACCGAAACACCAAGGTAAAGTCTTCTATATATATTGAGAGAACTAAATAGAAAACGTATCAATTCAGACTACCAAAGGAACAATCAAAGTGCAGCGCACCTGTAGAACTGGTTAGAATCAGTAGTTAAGAAACTGTTGATCCTTATAGAAGCTACTTCCAAAAGGCTAGAATCAATCATTAATGCTGGGGTTACATAAGGTGGCACAGGATGGGCATCTGGGATATTAAATGAATGTATGCTATATCACTTATATGCTATTCAGTTTCAATATTCAATGATGATTGAGGATGTGGATGAGAGTGATGCTGACGGTAATAGATCTATCTTCAATCTCACACGATTCATTACACCCTCACTCTGAAGTTTCATATGAATCCTGATGGTTCCAGGATCTACTTCTCCCTCTTGAGTTCATAATTGTATTTGTGTTCGCACTGCTTAATATACACGAAATATTTTAATTTGAACTTTTCTTAAGTGTTAAGGTCTTGTGCATTGTCATTTACACAAAAAAGTGTTTTTATGCGATGTATGATGAAGATCTGATAATGTATCGAAAATCAATGCAAGTCTCTTGAAAATATCAGGACATGATTAGGAGGGAGCTTTTTATGAGTAGATAACTAAAAAAATGATTAACATAATATTGATGTTTACTAAGACGGTGCTTCAAAAATCCAAGTGGAACCTCAGCAAGCAATCTAGTTTTCCACAGAGCTATTAAATGCACACGTCTCAAGGAATGCGTCGAATTGAAAATGAAAGAACTCATGTCGTTGACTTTTTATCAAAACTGACGGTAACCGGCGGTTCTTAAAAAAACTGACAGTTCCGGCGGTTTTATTCTTTATTTATCGATTTTTTATTATTTCATTGATAAATTAATGTTTTCAGTGTTGAAAGAATCGATTGCAACTGAAAAAACTGCATATTTTTATACCACAGTAAATTATGTCAAATACTGGCACTAATTTTTGTATTGGTCAAGTCACGTAATGAATGACTATTTTTTATGGCATCATCTTTAATAAAAACTAAACTCGAACACTAAGCAAATTTAGTCGATGTGGCTGGTACCGGTGGCTTCAGGGCACTCACAATTGATTAAGACTGCGAGTTCGACTAACACCTACCAATTTTGTAAGAGTTNCCCCACACCCACACTCCCATCCACCCACCCCCGCGCCCACGCCCACACCCACACCCACACACCCATTCACCCACACCCGCGCCCACGCCCACACCCACACCCATACCCCACAGCCACACCCACAGCCACAGCCACACCCACACCCACACCCGTCTAGAAATAAGGCAGTCAGCAGCAAATGTTTCTTATATTGAAATAGAATATGAGCTTTCATTCATAGATCCAATCGTTGAATTAAATGCTTGCGATATTTCTGGTTCGAATAACAATGAACTGAATCAACCTTATGTTACAGCGGTATCATCGAGGTAAAATTAATACGAAAACAAATTTTAACAATTATTTGTGATTTTTTATATGCTTAGTAGTAACAATAACGTTACGCAGACACGTGTTGTATTTCTATTGATGGCGTTAGTACTTTGCGCTATATCATTGGTTGTGATGGTGACATTATATGTTATTCTATCAAGTAAGAAAATATTCCCAGGTGGAAAGTAACATCTAGACCACGGACGAAGGTGTATGCTTTTTTTGCTGGTGATGTGAGTATCAGCAAATTTTCAAACTTCTACCTGTCTCATAAGTTACAGAAAGAATTGAATTTCAATTAATTCGTACTATAAGAAAACAGTTCTGTGTTTCTAATTTTATATAGCATCAGCCGTCGGTTCTGCTATTGTTCTTCCCACGCAATGTTTCCATTTTACGACAGATACCGATTCAACGCGTCTTTATACCAATCCATCATCTTGTTGCACAGCAGATCATAGTCTAGCAGCCGGATGGTATCGATTTACGGGAGGTGATGGTACACGACTTGTTACAATACCTCTAACTACAACCGGCAGATGTGGTAGCTCTTATCCAGGCTGGTGGAATGGTACACTACCAATAATGGCAGGTGCAACTACCGTGGAAAATATTTGTTTTTATACTGGTGATTCATGTAGCAATCAATTTCACCAATAATTGCAACGAATTGTGGTACTTACTATGTTTTTTATTTAGTACCAGTCCCATGCTGTTCGTCATACCGTTACTGTACAACACCATGAAACTGATAACAATACTAGTTTTTTAGTGTTTCATCATTTATCACAGTTCATACTAAATTAAAAGGTGACTTATAGACGATATTATCCATTTTGTATTAAATTGAATAATGGTGGGGTGTGGGTGGGAGTGTGGGTGTGGGTGTCAGTTTTCATTAGATCGCCAACAACCAAACCCACACCCACACGCCGACACCAATATCCATACCCACCCTCAAATTCACACGTTTTAGGAGTTTTTATTGAAACAATATCTAACCCTTTCATATCACGTATGTATTTATAGTTCGACTCTTAAGAAGAAGCTTTGGATATGTCTGAGTATCATGATGAATTTCTTCAACTTTTTGCTTTTTTCGCTAAAAAGTGACTGTATATGATTTCTTTCTAATTACTAGATTTTTACTCCACTGCCTTTTGACGGGACACTAGCCGATTGCGCTTTGATTTAAATACTTACATATAATCAAGATTCAACGAATAAAGTTTCTCAAACTGTCTGAGAATTATAATAGCTACTAAAGAACGGAATAAGTTAGCTTCTCAACTTTTTCAATCTCTTCTTCTCACATAATCTGAATTATTCATATCTCATACTAGTTGACCTTACGTACAAACTAGAAAAGCGAAGAGAATTCGTATTATCTCATTTCAAAATGAATTTTTTCTTTTAACAATTAAATTTGAAGAGAAAAAATGGAGAGCACAATTTATGAGTATTTCATAATATTTTAAAAGTAATTACACAAGAGATGAGTTTTAATATAAAAGTTGAGCTAAGTGTGATTCAAAGTTTTTAACATGTTCTCTATTTCCTTATAATTTACAGTTGTTTTTATAATTCATATAATTTCTTTTGTATTGTTTCTGTTCTCATTCAAGTTGAATTAAAATCTAATCAGGCACTATAACATAAATCTTCATGTGGTAAACTAAATGATACAAGTTCTAATTTAGTTACATTTGAATATATATAATTTTTGTTGAATAGCTTGAAAATTTTCTGAAAAACTTCGAGCTATGGATTTAGTATGTTCACGAGGAACTTGCTCAGAACTGAACTATGCAACAAATTATGAGTGTATCAAATTATTGATGTTCATTTGTTTTCAGCGTGATGTACTTGATCCATAGTTTGAGATGTTGTGTATGTAAAGTCTGGCATGTTCGAAATAATATAAATTCTCGAATCATTAAGCCGACTTAGCGAGAAAAGGATAATGTTTTAAACGGATCAATATTAAATGCACTGAACGTGGTGATCTCCTATAATACTAACTGGGTCATGATTTTCTCGCATACTAGAAAATAAAAGAAAAAAAACTTTCTCCACTGAACTACATTTTTTTTTCTTAAAATGCAATTATACCCGAGAAATAGTCGATACGATCTATTCAATTGAAACAAAATTGGTCTTTATGCGCTTCAGCAGGGAACGGTAATACAAAATAAAATGACAGCTTCATAGTATGAATTCGGGTTTAATTTTCATTTAATTGCATTCGAGTTTATTTCGTCGCAATTCCTTTTATATATAAATCAAGTCTATTTGTGAATACTGACGATCGTTTCGATCGTTCACCTTTCATAAATACTCCATGTTACCTACAAGGCGACGTGCAGAATGCAAAATTATTTCTTTTCATTCTGTCGTCTTCTAAGGCGATGTACATCATATTTTGTATTTAAAAACAATAAAAAATAAAAGCCTGAATGATGTTAAAATGCCGATTATATATATTTCAAGGCTGTAATTTTAGTGACTGTTTCATTTTTCTATTTAGATTTCCATTAGTTGTCAATAGTATCTTTTATTTCAAATTCTTATTTTCTTGCTTCATTTATTAGAATAACATGAAATTTTTCAAAACGATGTGAAAAACAAAGACTTTGTTTTTCAGCATGGATTTTGCACTGATAAATAGTCATTTTTTAAATTTTATTCATGTAGCAAAGTATGCACCTTTTTTTGTTCATGTCGACTTCATTGAGGGTGTGAATGTGGGTATGAGTAAACATGATCACGACTGTGTAGATGGCTGTGAGATGTTGGTTCGACTTGATCTTTCTTTTGATGTATACTAACACCCAAACACTATTACATTCATTTTATAAAAGTATACAATTTATTACAACATGATTCGATCGCATTGGCCATGAATCAGCCACAGATGCACTATTTCATTCATTTTTGACAGCGTATGTTTTATTCGCCCTAAATGGAATGAGTAAATGTGAATAAGAAATCAGTTTTTTTTTCTTCAGTATAAAGGCATTTATAGGATATTTCTTTTTTCTGAAGCTTGAAAGAAGATCCATTAATTTTAAATAGGTATTTTTGCATCCACTGCTTATGTTCAAATGATTCAATTTGTAACGGTAATAGTTTTTGCTGCTTCATTCTCATATATACACGGTTTGATGATTTATTTCTTCTCACTTTGTTCTTTCATGTCATGATCGATACTTAGGTGAAAATACAACAATATCTAATTACTATTGCAATGCAGCGGATACTACATTCCAATTTACTATGTCTTCGTCACCTCATTCTGCATGGCAACCAACATTGAATTGTTCTTTACAACAGTGTTATGTAAGCTCGAATGCAAACGACAGCTGTCGTTTATCATCAACACCTTGCTTCAATTACCGTACATCTAATAATATTACTTACTGTGCACCTGCTAGTATATGTTCGATTTTGGAATCTTGTGATAATATTACTTATCGTTGTGCATCAAATACTTCTATATGCGTTGTGAACTCGTGTTGTGCACAACAAGTAGTATGTTTACCATTGTCAATGGTGAATTTTTGTGAATCAGGTAAAAGAAAATCCATTCAGACTCATAATTAAAAGAGAAACAAAATAACTTAAGTTGTCTGAATTGTAATCGAAATTTCATTTGGTTTTTGCAGATTGATTATTGAGGATGAGTGGGCATGGTTGACATAGGAGATTTGCACTTAGCCATATCCACATTCTCAGTAGGTAGACTTCTTATCATATCAGGACGAAGTTGTGCATGTAGTTTTTTTGAACTCAACATTATCTAACAGATGATTGCATGTGTCTGCTATTTATTTTATTGATTTGTGTCTTCTTAGCCACATCTTGTCCACTAACATTTATATCACAATCTTTTCCTGTTGGTTTTCTACCAACCTCCGTTGCTGTTGGCGATTTTAATTGTGATGGTAAACTAGATGGCATCGTCGCGAACTCCGGTAGCAATACCGTGACTGTTCTATTTGGAAGCATGAACGACATTATTGGACAAACAAGTTTTCCAACAGGTGTAAATCCACAAGCAGTTGCTGTTGCTGATTTTAACCGTGATGGTAACCTGGATATTGTCGTGGCGAATTCTGATGATAATACTCTGACTGTAATACTAGGGAATGGTATAAATGACACTCTTGGACAAGGTATCTTTTCAACTGGTACAAGTCCACAATCAGTTGCTGTCGCTGATTTCAACCTTGATGACAAACTAGATATTATCGTTGCGAACTCTGGTAATCATACTGTGACTGTTATCCTGGGGGATGGAGTGAATGACACTATTGGACAAAGAAGCTTTTCGACCGGTAAAAATCCACGATCAGTTGCTGTTGTTGATTTTAATCTTGATGGTAAGCCAGATGTTGTCATTGCGAATTATGTTGATAATACCGTGACTGTGTTACTTGGAAACGGAGCAAACGACACTATTGGACAGGCAACATTTCCAACTGGCGGAAACCCACGATCAGTTGCTGTTGGTGATTTTAACCTTGATGGTAAGCCAGATATTGTCGTCGCAAACTTTGGTACTAATACTGTGGTTATACTACTTGGAAATGGTGTAAATGACACCATTGGACAAAAAAGCTTTTCAACAGGCATAAATCCACAATCAGTTGTTGTCAGCGATTTCAACCTTGATGGTAAGCCAGATGTCATCGTTGCAAATTTCGGCGATAATACCTTGACCATACTACTTGGGAATGGCCAAGGAAGTTTTACTGCGTACGAGACTCTCCCAGCTACCGGTAATCCAAGCTCCATTGTTACAAGCGACTTTAACGGTGATGGTAAACCAGATCTTGTGGTAACTAACTATTATAATAGCACAGTGAGTGTTTTCGAGAACTTTTGCTCCGGCAATGTGTTATGAATGAAAATTTTTTCTTGTTGATTTTTCAACCGGTACTATCATGATGTCATAAAAATGCACTTCCAAATCATGATTTTGCGAGCGGGTGTGGGGTGTAGGTGTGGGTGTGGGCAATGACGAAGAGAAAAACAACTTCCACACTCATACACATTCTACACTGTAAAAAAAAAGCGTAGAATAATAAACCCTTTAAGGGTTTATGAAAGTGCAACGAATAATATACCCTTTTTACCGTATGTTGCACTTTTCATAAACCCTTTCGTAAACCCTTTGGAAGGGTATATGAAAGGGTATATGATTTTCATAAACCCTTAAAGGGTATATTATTAGTTGCACTTTCATAAACCCTTATAAGGGTTTATGAAAATCATATACCCTGTCATATACCCTTCCAAAGGGTTTATGAAGGGGTTTATGAAATTCATATACCCTTCCATATACCCTTTGGAAGGGTATTTGAAAGGGTATATGATTCTCATAAACCCTTATAAGGGTTTATTATTCTACGCTTCTCTTTTACAGNCCCTAGTCTCACCTGCCCCCTATGCTCCTCTGACACACCCTCCTTTCCCCAAACAACTAAAGATAAAACATACCAAAAACTTCTTCCCCCCCCTCCCCCCCCCACTCTTAAAAATAATCGACAGCCCTGATATATATATATATACACATATGTTTTCTATAAACCTAGTAAATATAAAGAATCTAATAAAATCATTATTGACCTTTCAAAGATAAAACAAAATAAAGATATTTGTCCGAATTCAGAAGCCGTAGACGAAAGAAAAAAAAAAAAAAGATTGAAAAATCTTTAAAATTATATTTCGAATAGATCTTATCGTTGAATTGATTAGATCAATAAATGATTTATTCTTATTTTTTTGGTATTTAGATTGAAGATTTACAAAATACAAATCGTCGTAATTCAGAACAAATAAATAATTATCGTATTGATCTTGTTTCATATCGTGAACGTATTGAAGAATCAACAAAAATTCGTGATATATGTAATGAAAAAATGTTACAATTAGAACAACGTTGTCGTGATTTAGAAGATCGTGCATATCGTGCTCAACAACAACAACATGAATCAATTATTGAACGTGATGATGAAATACAACATCTTAAACAAATTCTTGAACAAATGCAAAATGATTATCAAAATTTAGTTGATACTAAAATTGGACTTGATCGAGAAATTGCAACATATAGAAAATTACTTGATTCTGAAGAAGAACGATTAAATATTGTTGCTCGATTAGGACCTTCACCAACTATCAATGGTAGTGCAACACCAACAAATAATGATGAAACATCAATTAATGGTCCAGCACAACGACAACGTCTTAAACGTCCACGTTTTGAAGTTGATGAAGATATGATTGTTACTAATGGAGAACATTAGACATTCAACAAAGCATGATTGAACATTGATATATGTTTTTTTTTCGTCTATTTTGACCCGGTTCTGAAACTTTTTTTTTTTTTTTTGATATTTCGAACGAAACGAAAATAGTATAGATATATGAGAAGAAGACGAAAATAGCTTCTACTCCTATTTATGTTATTATTTAATGACAACATTTTTGTGTACGATTATGAATTTGGTTCTTGTGCATCAGACTTTTTTTTTGTCTTGTCTTTAAAAGTAGTAGATATTCTTATATAAAATTCGGATAAATTGAAAAATAACTTGATTATGGTTTGTCTATGTTTAGTTCTTAAAGTATATGATTTTATTTTAGAACATTCTTTTTTTTTTCATTTGAAAAGAGAATAAGCACTGCAATATAAGTTTCTTTGAATGTCTTCGTCTTAATTCGAGATGACAATACTGAAACGATTTATCAACAATGAAAGATTAGCATAAAATATATTAAATTACATTCAAAGTTTTCTTTTTTTTTTATTACTTACTATGAAAATGATTATTTTCATTGGTTGATACTTATCAGTTTATAGAGTATTATAGTGTTATAAGTTATCATCATGCATTATAATCAATCAGACGATCTATTCATAATGAAATCAATTATAAAACTAACATTATACCATCTGTGATTATGTAATTGTTCGATTCTATAAATCATCTTACTAAATAAAATGCAATAGTATTTTACACACTCATTAATCTCCTTTGTTAAACAATCATTTGTATTTTTAATATTTATCCTAGAATAAATATCGATTTTTAATACAAATGATATTCGATTCATTTTAATTTATTATACTTTTTGTTTTGCTTGTTGGATACAGAATAATTGATTGATAAATGAAATAGTTTGTTTATGATAAATAATATTGAGAATTTGATGAAAAAATTCAATCGCAATTTGCACCAAGCATTGAATGTCTCGAGTAAATCTATCTACGAATTTCATTCAAGCCCGGTGAAATTGTCGATTGATAAAATTAAAAAAAAAACAAAAACAAGCAATCAATACTTAATGAATGTATGAAATAATATGATTAAATATATATTTTCTCATTCCTGGATATTATCGAGAGTCTGTAGTCTATATTTGGCAACTAGCCAACTTACACTTCTGGTCAAAAGCTAAAAGTTGTTCATTCTTTCTCTTTTTTTTTTTTCATCCTGTAGTCGTTTGCGGACACTGATATAGTCCGATTAATTTCTTTTTCTTTTTCCTCGCACTTTCTTTCTTCTGTAGCTTATAGAGTACACAAGAAAAGAATTCATTCCCGTTTCATTAGGACAACAGAACGACAAAACTAGTGTTTAGTTTCGATACAACAACTCAAAAAAGGAGAAGAAGAAAATGATCTTTTTCTTTTTTTCATCGTTCTTTGTTTTATCGATTGCATATGTCGGACAATTGTAATATATTACTAGACAGTAAAGTGACCGATAGAAATACGCAATACTAACAGTAGGATATTTATGATAAGGAAAGAAATGATCATTTTCATATACTAGAGATTAAGATTGATTTCTTACTATAATAATAATAATAGAATATTTGATTTGATTGATATCTATACAAGTTCGATTGAAATATATATATATATTTTATATTTTATTAATAATTAAACAGAAATATGACTGATTAAAACACACAACTTTTTTGAAAATGTATGTAACGATAGTTAGAATATTTTTCATTAAAGGTCAAGGACTACTCATGTATAATTTTCTTCGCTAAGTCGAATTGAATTATCATTATGTACAAATCCAGATTTGAAATTCACGATGAAAAATTAATTTGGACTGAACCCTTTTTTTTTTTTTTATTTTCACCACTGTGATTCGAAACAAAAATTTGAGTTCTTTATTTTTCGTACTTATTCATTATGTTGAATGTTGTTGTTTTTTTACTTATTTTTTTTTTTTTGTAAATCATAAAGATAAGAAAAACTTTTAACACAAAAAAAAAAAGTCATCGTTCGATCTTTAAATTCAAAAAGCACCGTTTTATAATACGCAACAAAAAGAGAAAAAAAACACCACATGTATATATTTATCACATATATCGACAAAAGAGAAGAAAAAAAACGATCGCTTTCTTTTCTATATAATTTTATATCATTTCGGTTGTTGTTTAGAATTATGTTTTGATAATGGAGGTGAAAACATTAAACCAGGTGCAAGCATTTGATGAGGACTTGTTGATATTGTTTGTGATTGAAAATTAAATTGATCTTTTGAATCATCATTATTACTCCAAACTGAATCCGGACGTGATCTAAAAAATAATCGTAATAAAATTAACTTTAACATTTTTAATCTTACTCATAATCAAATGATTGTTGTTGAAAAAGATCTTTTGATTCAGATGCTGATGGTAAACGTGGCCAAGCATCTGAATCACCAATAAACGATTCTAAATCAATTGAAACAAAAAAACATTTATAAGATAGATAATCAATATCACATACGATGCGAAATAGGAGGAGGAGGAGGAGGAGGAGGAGGGGGTGGTGGTGGAAATGAAATTGTATCATTGGATGAATTCTTTTGATTTAGAGAACGATTGCTCGATGCAGATTCCGAAGCTAAATAATTAAAATATATTATTTTTAATAGATGAATCATTGTAAACATATACCAGCTAGAGCTGGTTCAAGAAATTGTCTTAATGCTACATTTCGAGCACCACGAGGTGTTTTAACATTAGTACCATTTGGATTATGTGTTTTTTGTTCATCAGTTATTGGCTTCTATTCAAAGATAATAAATAAATTTTAATTAAATATGTTTTTTTTTTCTTTTCGATATACCTGTATTGTACGTCGATCACCAGGTACACCAAAATTTGATGAAGGAATTTGTTGTGCTAATGGTGATGATGATTCAAAACAAACAATTTCATCTTTGACATAAGTTATTAAATGATCAAAAACTTTTTTCTTAGTTTTATCATCAGTTTTTTGACATAAATTTCGTATAATAGAAACTAAACGTAATTTACGTAATTGTCTTACATCTTTTTCACTTAAATATTCATTTGTTGTTTCATCATCAATATATTTTTTAAAATTATATGATTTAAGAATATCATTTAATGGTGTAAAACATTCTAATGTACGTTCTTCAGCTAGAGGATAATCACTATATTTAAAAAATAAAGATTCTGTTGATTCATTCTTGCCTAAAAAAAGAAATAATGCATAATTTATTTAAATGAAATAATTAAAGAATTCGAATTATTAAAATATCAAGAAACTATTCGAAAAAATAAAGACTTCTAGCCATAGATTTTATCTTTAAGGCTCCCCCCCCCCCCCACTCAAAAATCGATCTCAGCCCAGGAACGTTCAAATGAGCTGAAATTTGGAGCATATGTTGGGGCTGAAGTGGGGGGGCT